TATGGCATAAGACTATTCCATCTCTTACCATAAAGTGGCATTTTTCCCAGTTGAGTACTAAATTACTCTCTTGGCATCTCTGCAAAACACAAGCTAAGTTAGTGAGGCAAACATCAAAAGATGGACCAAATACAGAAAAATCATCCATAAATATTTCAATAAAATTTTCAATCATATCAGAAAATATGGATAGCATACACCTTTGAAAAGTGGCGGGTGCATTGCATAGCCCGAAGGGCATACGTCTGTAGGAAAACACACCGTAGGGACAGGTGAAGGCTGTCTTCTCTTGATCTTCTGGAGCAACCGCTATCTGATTGTATCCGGAATAGCCGTCAATGTCCCGCTAGCCTCTCCAACATTTGATCTAAGAATGGTAGAGGGAAATGATCTTTTCTTGTAGCGGCATTAAGTCTCCTGTAGTCGACGCACATTCTCCAGCCGGTAATAGTTCTTGTAGGAATCAACTCATTGTTTTCATTACGTACCACTGTGATCCCACCTTTCTTTGGAACTGTTTGTACCGGACTCACCCATGCACTATCAGAGATTGGATAGATCATACCAGCATCCAAGAGCTTCACGACTTCTTTTCTCACAACTTCTTTCATAGTTGGATTCAATCTTCTCTGTGGTTGTCTGACTGGCTTCACCTCATTCTCCATCAATATTTTATGAGTGCAAAAAGATGGGTTTATTCCTTTCAAGTCTGTAATAGACCATCCTATAGCTGTTCTGTGCTCTCTCAACACTTTCAATAATTTTTCTTCTTCGGCGGTTGATAAATTTATGTTGATGATCACCGGGTATGTCTTGCTTTCTCCAAGAAATGCATATTTCAAAGTGGGAGGAAGTTCTTTCAATTCAACCTTTGGTGCACCTGGAATGATATCATCAACTTTCTCTTCTAGCTTTTCAACCTCTTGTTCTCCTTCTGTTGCTTCAGTCGTATTGTGCAGTAGATCTTCTTCTAATGACTCCAATTCCATCAGTGGTTGGAGTATTTCATCAACTGTATCTAGCACTGCATCATTGATCACATCAACCTTGAAGCAATCTCCTCCGTCGGAAGGATGTTTCATAGATTCAAGAACATCAATAGTTACGGTTTCATCATTAACCCGCAACATCAGCTTACCCTGCTCCACATCAATCATAGCCCTTGCAGTGGCTAAAAAGGGCCTTCCCAACAGTAAGGGAATCTCAGCATCCTCTTGCATGTCTAAGATGACAAAGTCTGCAGGGAATATGAACTTATCAATCTTCACCAAGACATCTTCAATAACTCCATCTGGCCTTCTGGTAGATCTGTCTGCTAGCTGCAGTGAAACTTTGGTCGGCTTTAATTCATGAATTCCCAGAGCCTTGCAGATGGATAATGGCATAAGGTTAATACTAGCTCCCAAGTCACATAACGCCTTTCCCACATCAATGTTGCCAATTTCTATGGGAATGCTGAAACTTCCAGGATATTCAAGTTTTGGAGGCAACTTTTTCTGAATTATAGCACTACACTCTTCCGTCAACGTCACCGTTTCACATTCTTTCAGTTTACGTTTCTTCGATAAGAGATCTTTCATGAACTTTGCGTAATTCGGCATGTTCTCCAAGGCTTCAGCAAATGGAATATTGATTTGTAGCTTTTTGAAGATGTCAAGGAACTTCGAATACTGCTGCTTTTTGATTTCCTCTCTGAACCTCTGCGGATATGGAATTTTTGCATAAGGTGAGAGCTCCAATGGCTTTTCTTGTCTTTCTTGAGCTTTCTTTTTCTCCCATTTAAACTCTTTCTTTTCAGGAACAGCTTTCTCTGCAGCAGGCTCTTTGTCAACTTCCTTCTCTTTTTCTCCTTCAATGGCAGATCCCTCAGCTTTCTTTTTCTCTACTGAAGGCTTAGTCACAGGTTCAATTACAATGCCACTTCTAGTGGTAATGGCCTTGCAGTGTGCGTTTGGATTAACGTCTGTATTACTCGGGAAAGTGCCTTGGGTTCTTTCATTGAACTGCCTTGACAATTGACCGATCTGGGTTTCAAGATTCCGGATAGAGGCTTCTTGATTCCGGAATGAAGCCCTGGTCTCCTGCATAAAGGTTGAAGTGTCTTCCCTGAATGCATTGGTACTTTGAACGTAGTCTGATGTGGTCTTGGATAGTTGTGCAAAGGCTTTCTCCCACTCTGATTGTTGTGGAGGTTGCTGTGGTGCTGGCATAGGAGGATTTAGCTGATGATTCGAGCTATAACTGAATCCTGGATGTTGATTTTTATTTCTCCACCCTTGATTCTGGTTATTGCCGTATTGGTTCCTCCCTGGATTATATGGAACTTTCTGATCATGCCAAATTCCATTAACATCTGCAGTTTCGGGTGCCTTGCAGTCATCAGTAGTATGAGCACCTGCGCAAATATCACAAACAATAGAAGAAGTATTAACATAAGCTACTGAAGTATTAGAAGAAACTTGAAAATCAGAAAATTGCTTTGTGAGAGCATCTAGTTGTTGTTGCTGTTTCTTATTAGACTGTAGGATCTGATCATTCTGGGCCAAGATGGCATCATAGCCATCAAGCTTCATAATCCTCGCTCTTCTCTGTGGTGCGGGAGCATTATCATACTCCTGAGAGGCTAGAGACTCTAGTAATTCCAAGGCTTCCTCTGGAGTTTTTGTCTTCAAGGACCCTCCTGATGCAGCATTCACCACTGTTCTTGTGTTCGGCGTCATCCCTTGGAAGAAGGTTCTCGCTTGCTCCCAGGCTTCAATGCCATGTTGGGGACACTTCCTGAGCAGTCCTTTGAATCTTTCCCATGCTTCATATAGAGATTCACTTTCTTTTTGTTCAAAAGAAGTGATATCCGCCTTGAGCTTTGCCATCTTCGAAGATGAGAAAAATTTATCCAAAAATTTGGTTGCCAAGTCGTCCCAGTGAGTGATGCTTCCTTGAGGTAACGATTGCAACCATCCTCTTGCTTCGTCTTTAAGTGAGCATGGGAACAACCTGAGCAAAATAGCATCCCGAGACACCCCGTTCATTTTCAAGGTATCACAATATAGCAAGAAGTTTTCCAGATGGATGTAAGGGTCTTCAGTGCTTCCTCCGGCAAATTGGTCTTTCTGAATTAATTGTAAAAGTGCCGGCTTGAGTTCAAAGTTGTTAGCATCCACGTTTGGTCTAACAATACTCGCCGTCTGTGGAACTCGAGCAGGAGTCATGTAATCTCCCAACGTTCTCGGAGGTGGTGGAGGTGCATTGTTGTCTCCCATTGCTTCTTCTCTTGGTTCTGTTGAGCTTGAAGCTTCTTTCTCTTGTTGTCTTCTTTCTTTAGCAAGTTTTCTGTTTCTTTTTGCTGTTTTCTCTATCTCCGGGTCAAATTGCAAGGAATCGGTGTCAACGGTACCTCGCATAAACCAGAAAAATAGATTATATAAAATAAGAAAATAAAACTGAATTTAAATAACAGAAATTTAAATAACAGAAAATAAGGTCCAATCTAAAGAATTAATAGCTACTATTAATGTTGAAATAGTAATCCCCGGCAACGGCGCCAAAAACTTGTTGCTACTCACGGCAAGTGCACCGATCGTACAAGTAATATATGATTAAGTAAGAGATCGTTCCCACGAGGATTACGGTTCAAGCACTAATTCACTATCGCAAACTTAGTTGGACAATCGAAAGTGTATTTGGAAACAGGATTTGAATTGCAAAATTAAAATATTAAATATTAAGCTAATTACTTGCAAGAATTAAAGACAAGAAATTAAAGATGTGATTTAAGAATGTAAAAGAACGTAGCTAGGGGTTCGATTTCATTTAATCTCCTTATTATGATTCGAAGTCCTTCTTTACGTTAACCGTCCTTAATATCAATCTAACCAATTCTTTCGCGTGTTATTAGGGCTCAATCCCTTGTTACCCTAGAACCTTTACAAACTTGAAAGAACCCTAGTTCCCCGGTTATTCTCCAAGAATGCAAGCATTAAGTTCAAGAATCTTAAGGTTACGCAAATTCTATGTCTATCCCTAGAATCATAGCGTTTACGATGAAGTTATCAGATATGGATCACACACCAACATCCCTATTGTCATGCATTTACCGATGATCATTATATAAGATTCAAGCCTATATAAAGCATTAAAAACAGATAACTTCATTCATGATAAAAAGGAAAATTAACGTACGAATTGTTCAAAGCATAATAAATCGAATTGTGCATGTCGAGTTATAAAACAGGTGAAAATTGAACGTGAACGTGATCTTGTTATACGTTTCTTGAAGAGGTTAAATGACCAATATGCAGGTGTTCGTTCCAATATTATGAAGCTTTTTCTTTAGTTGTACAACAAGAAAGGAAGTTTAATTCGGGAGTCTCATTTGAAAATGTATCTGAATCTCGAGCCTTCAATAATTTCTCCAACCAATCTAGCTATTGAAGTTCTTCAAATAGAGGTAGAAGACATTTTAATGAAGGAAGAGGCTCAGGAAGAACAACTAGACCACAAAAGACTTGTACTCACTGCGAAAAAAGCAATCACACTATTGAAACATGTTATCAATTACATGGCTTTCCTCCTGGTTACAAAAGCAAAGGGCAGGCCAATCATATATCACACAAATCTGTTCATGAATTTGAAGCAAATGAAAATGTACACCATCGTGATGAGCCACATCAGATGGATCTTGCACTGATACAAGAACAATATCAGAGGATTCTTGGTCTTCTTCTGCAGAATGGTAAAGGCATAAATGACATAACTACATCTTCCACTATTTTTGTTAAAGCCTCCTCTGTGGCCAACAAAGATTTCCTCTTCAAACAAACATATAAATTCCACAGGTAATACTTCGTATCAATGGATTTTAGATAGTGGTGCTACTGACCATATCAGTTCCTTTCGTTCTTATTTCAAAAAATTTATCAAAAATTCATCTCATTTCCATATCATTACAGAATAGGTCATGTTTATATGCTAATTATTCTGGTACTATTTATTTATCTCCTCAATTTATACTCAAAGAAGTTCTTTTTGTCCCAAAATTCCAAGTTAATTTGATTTCAATTACAAAGTTAGCTAATACTATTTCTTGTTCACTAACTTTTACTGATAATTGCTGCTCAATATACCAGAATGTTACCAAGATGCTGATTGGTACAACTAAGCAATGTTGTGGACTCTTCATTCTTGACATACAAACCCAAGCTTTTAATACCAACACTAAATCACAACAAAATACCAAAACTTCTGACGTTGCAATGTTATGGCACCTACGCCTTGGTCATATTTCTCATTCTAGCGTGAAACTTGTATCTTCTCTTTTTCTTTTTTTTTCTTTTACAAATGTATCTCCCTGTGACACTTATCACTTGGCAAAACAAAGGAAATTATCTCATTTCTCTAGTGAAAATAAAACCAATGCAGTATTTCAAATATTACATGTAGACATTTGGGGACTTTACTCAACCACTTCTATACATAGCAATCGTTATTTTTTGACTCTTGTTGATGATCACTCTAGGTTCACATGGGTCATTTTTATGAAACACGAACATGAGATCCGAAAACATCTACAAAATTTCATTGCTTACATAGAAAATCATTTTCATACCTCTCTTAAAACCTTAAGGTCTAATAATGGACTTGAATTCATGATGAATGATTTTTATTCAAGCAAAGGCATTTCTCACCAAAGAACATGCATTGAAACTCCACAACAAAATGGAGTAGTTGAGAGGAAACACCAACATATCCTAAACGTAGCTCGTGCCATCCTTTTCCAGTCCAACTTACCCATACATTTATGGTCTTATGTTATTACTCATGCCACAAATATAATTAACCAATTGCCAACACCACTTATGAAAAATAAAACACCATATGAAATTCTGTTCACCAAACCATCACTACTTATTCATTTGAAAACTTTTGGGTGTCTATGTTATGCATCAACCATTGCAACTCATCGAATGAAATTCCAGCCTAGAGCCCGTAAATCCATTTTCTTAAGATATAGGGAAGGAACCAAAGGCTACATACTGTATGATCTAATTTCAAGAGAAATCTTCATGTCAAGAAATGTAATTTTCTATGAATTCAATTTTCCTTTAACTACTAAACCACAGTCTCAATTATGTCAACCTAAACCTCATACAGATTCTACTACCACATTACCATTTGATGACCTTTTTCTAAATAATTCACATGTTCCCATTCCCAATGATCCTAATTCTAATTCCAACTTACATACGTTATCCTCTTCAACAGAACCTGACATCCTTAGAAGATCAAATAGAACCTGTAAGGTCTTTCATACTTACAAGACTTCCACTGTGAAGGTCCACCACCTGCTACTGTGGCCATCACTCAATCAGGTAATTCTCAACCTCCATTATACCAATTTTCCTCAGTTTTATCATATCATTCATGTTCTTCCCGTTATACCCATTTTTGTTTGAATATTTCTTCTAATGTGGAACCAAAAATATATAACCAAGCAGCCAAACATGAGCATTAGCAGAAGGCCATGCAATCCGAACTACTGGCTCTTGACATGAATAATACATGCAAGATTGTTGACTTACCTCAAGGAAAGAAGCCCATAGGATGCAAGTGGGTCTATAAAATAAAATATCATGCTGACGAGACCATTGAACGATATAAAGCCAGGCTTATTGCCAAAGGCTATACTCAACTAGAAGGGGTTGACTATTTTGATACATTTAGTCCTGTAGCAAAGCTCACTACCATCTGAATCCTCCTTTCCATAACAGCTAGCAACAATTGGTTTTTAGTGCAACTTGATGTGAACAATGCTTTTCTCCATGGTGATTTAAATGAAGAAGTCTTCATGAAAATTCCTCTTGGCCTTTCCTGCTCTAAACCCAATCAAGTATATCATCTACAAAAATCCCTCTATGGATTAAAGCAAGCTAGTAGACAGTGGAATGCTAAGCTTACTTCAGCTCTCATCTCTATTGGATACAAGCAATCCAATGTTGATCACTTATTATTCACAAAGCACAGTTCATCTTCCTTCACAGCACTCTTAATATATGTTGATGACATTGTGCTAGCTGGAAATGATATGCTGGAAATCAATAATGTGAAATCGTTCCTTGATCAATAATTCAAAATAAAAGACCTTGGTTCCTTAAGGTTCTTCCTTGGACTTGAAATATCTAGATTATACTGAATCAAAGGAAATATGCACTAGAGATATTATCAGACACGGGTATGCTTGCTTGCAAGCCAGCCTCCACTCCCATGGATGCAACTTCAAAGCTAAGCTGTGAGATACTGGTAATCCTATATCTGACGAAGCTTCATATCGTCGGTTAATAGGACATCTTCTATACTTGATAACAACCAGACTTGATCTCACTTATTCAGTGCAACAACTAAGCCAATATGTCTCCAAGCCACCGATGCCCACACGACTACTGCTCATTGTGTTATGAGATACATAAAAGCATCATCAAGTGTTGGTTTGTTCTTTTCTTCAACATCTGCTCCATCTCTTTTTGGGTTTGCTGACTTCGATTGGCCATGTTGCCCAGACACACGTAAGTCCATCAGCAACTACTATGTTTTTCTAGGATCTTCTCTTGTTTCTTGGAAATCGAAGAAGCAAACAATTGTGTCTATATTATCCGCAGAAGTTGAATATAGAGCCCTTGCAAGCCTTACCTGTGAGGTCCAATGGATACATTATCTATTATATGAT